GGTCAGAAATGTAGCTTTTTAACAAAGTTGGAAATTGGAAATCATTAATGAGAATTAACTAAATATTGAATTTTCTGGCTCCATTTTGTGGAAGAGATCACTTGAAGCTGAGTTTTTTTGCCAGCCATTTGCTTTGTAATTTTAAAAATCATTTGCCCATTCTGGGACTCAAACCATCTGACATGTGAAGCTGAAATCACTTCACATGTGAAGCTGAAATCACTTCACATGTGAAGCTGAAATCACTTCACATGTGAAGCTGAAATCACTTCACATGTGAGCAATTCCTGCAGTTCGTTCAGATCTATTTAGTATGATCACTGAGAATCACTTACAGCTAAACTTTGTTGCCTTGCAGGAAGATTCACACATGCATTGTAAAATAGACTTCTGATACAATCTGATAGAAAACTTAAGTTTACAAATTACCTGAATGCAAAATTAATTCACGACATTTTTATTGTCATCCTTTAAGACAAAGAAAACAGGGAATGAACTATTGAAAAACATACTAATGTTCTTCCAAACTTGATTTTCTGCTCTTCTAACTTATCCAGAAAAAGGAAAAAATTAGGAGTACTATTACTGCTTCAAGTATTACCTTCAGGAAATCGCTCCTGTCCAACTGAATCATCCCACATGCCAGATGTGGAAATTAATACATTTCAGTGGAAGCTCTGATCTACAGCGACTAATATGAGCATTATTAAAATCAGAGGTAAATTCAGGAGTTTGGTGACTTACTTCAAGTTCACAGATTTTATGGAGTTGTTGTTTTCTCTCCTGATTTCTTAATGTGAGAACCGTAAGCCAAACCCGAGGGTTTTTGTTTTTTTAAATCTGTGCGGTTGCGTTACGCTCTCTGAGACTCACATGTAGTGGAAAGAAGGCGCCGTCCTGAAACAGCACTCGGCTCTCCTGGCCAGGCGGTGCCAGGCGTCTTTGGGGAGGTAGCCATCGCCGGCACAGCCATTCGGTGGCTCATCGTCCTCGTCCTCCAGACGGTTAAGACCCATGAAGGACAACTGTTGGGAGAAGAAGAGATGTTTTCCTGCCACATCAGTTCAATTCAATGAATAATAAAAAAAATGTACTCCAAAGAAAAGGGCAGCGTATTAGAGAACAATGCAAATATGATATTATTGTTAAACACTGAGATGTTTTCAGAAACTTTTAACTCATATGTTCCTCACTCTTATTTCATTTGTCTTCCTCGGTTACGTTGTAATCGTTACCATCTTGGTCACCGAGGTTCTCAGTTTGTTTAGAAAGTGTGCAGCGCTTCAATTTTTCCACATTTTGCTTTATTACAAACTTTTGCTACACTGTATTAAATTAACGTTTTTCCTCAGCATTCTACAAACACATACCTCATAATGACAATGCGGAAAAAGGTTTTTGAAATTTCTGCAAATGTATAATTAAGTATTCACATTCTTTGCCAAGAAGCTCAAAGTTAATCTGTTGCCATTGATCATCCTTGACACGTTTCTGTAGCTTAAATTTGACTTCTGGAGAAACACGTCAAGGATGATCAGTGGAATCAACTCGAGTTTGAGCTCCATGGCAAAAAAAGTTGTGAATACTTGAGTAAATGTGATTTATTGGCATCGGGGTAGTGAGAACTCTATCAAATGGCAAAAAATAAATAAATAAAATAATGCATTCAAGCAGCCCTTTGCAATTGATACTGATAGCTATTCAGTTGATTCTGCAGCTCTCCCAGGTCCCAGTAGAAACACACTCACTAGATGTTCAGCGAAAGCAGTGGGATCAAAAGCGCTCCCCTCAGAAAACAGCTGGCTGGCTTTCTCTTTTCCCAAGTCTGTAGCCACAACGAGAAGCTGAGCATCGAGGGCCGCTTCTCTTGCCTGTCGAACTGACGGAGAGCAAAGTGACATCATACCAATTAATCCAAAAGGATAGATGTATGCTGGACAAAAAAACAAACATAAATCTAAATATAGAATATTAAAATCAAACTATCAAAGCATCTGTTAGGTATGGGGAACACACATAAATGTTTTATTTCTGATTCTGGTCATGTTAGTTTCCCACACTGATTAGACAACTAACAAGGTTACATAACTATCAGCTGTACCAGGTTGTAGCTTGAAAAATTTCTAATAATGTTCAAAACGCCATTTGTTTTTGTTTGGGGAAACAAAGCCATGTTTATGTGAAGACGAGTGGACATTTTTAAATGAAATGAATAGTCTTTCATTTAACAATGTCAAACATCAAAATACCAAAAAATAAATAAATAAATACTTCTAATCCTCAAAATTTAACAATATTTTTAATCACAGCGTTTAGAGTAACATTTTAAAAAACAAAAAGTCGGAGAAGATATTTTATGCTAAGCCTCTATTGTGAAAATATAATTTTAGAGTAGTGAACTTTACCTCTGTGATAAATACAAAATAACTGCAAGTCAATTATCTTACATTTACTAACCACAAGAGAAATGAGAACTTTAATATGAGTGACCAGTTTCATGGTAATATATAAAAATATTGCAAAAAAAATGTATGTTTTTGTCATTTTGAAGAGCCACTTTTTACAGGTTTAAATTTAAACTGATGTGCATAAATTACCCCAGAATTTCAGCATTTGAAAACATGACTACTGTCTTAATTTTCAATCTTCACATTATGCTGGTTTCATTAAAAATTCTTGAAGTACTTTTGCCGTTTGACATTCAACTCTTTGGTGCAGAAATTACATTGCCACTAAGTTGCAGATCCTAATCAGAAATACCTCGTTATTTCTCACATACCATCTTTGAAAAGTTTATTTGCCTCTTCTAAGACTTCTGTGAGCTTGTTGTTGGAAGGACTCAGCATGTCTTCTCTGTTTTCTGTAAGAGAAAGAAAAGTCTATGAGCGCATTAAAGCTTTGTTAAATAGTTAAGGCTGCCTCTCAGTAACAACTCACGTTGAACTGAGTTGATGAGGTCCCTGTATTTGCTTCGGATTTCTCTCCTGAGGCCCAGATCGTTGTCATCATCGTCGTCTTGCACACCACCGGAACTCGAGTCATGGTCCTCTCCATCACCCGGGTGTTGATCGGTTCTCCTCCGGCTGGACGATCCGTTCTGCCGGACAGCTTCATCATCACCGCCCGCTCTGGCCTTTCTCATCTCTAGTCTGCTGCAGAAGAGACTCTACGAAAGGGCAACCACAAGAAGGCGAAAGCAAAACGAGGAGGTGTGGCAAAAGTTATCAAAAGTTACCTTCAGCAAGTTTGGAAACAGGCTATGATTATAGTAACGATAGGGACGTAGATGTTCACAGTTTAACTATAAACATAGCATAGCATGCAATATTTAAGAAACAAGTTAACACAAAGTCATTTACCTTTGAGAATTGATAAACCCACAAGTTCAGCTGCGAATAAAACGCTCTCGATTCGTGCTAAATGAAAGCTAACGCTAGCTACCGGCTAACTGCTGATGCTTTCGGCTAACGTTAGCCGTTAACCTGATTTTAGCGGTTTTGTTTAACTATGGTAATGCGAACAGAATAAAGTACAAAAAAACACAAACACGAGCAAAAATTCTGAAAAATCTGTTAAAAGAATACCGTCAAAGCTATTTTAAAAACAGACAAAAACTATTCAAACTACAGAGTTCTGGCGTGCAAACACAGGAAGTTGACGTGAAGCGTCATGCACAACTTTTCAGAATAAAAGCAAAAGGAAACCGCCAATTTTGTTGGACTAAAAAAGATGCACTAGTGCAGTGCAGGGGTACCCAAACTTTGTGAGACCAAGATCTACTTTTTCTTGGTCAGCTGGCTGAGATCTACCACATGTCACGAATATATAAAAATTGCAAATGAAACTCTATTGACGTATTTTATATGCGAACATCAATTAAATAGGAGACATATTAGAAAACCTAGTGCAGTTTCTTCCACAGTGAGATTCTGACACTGGGAAGAGGTTGCTGGTTTCTCATAGTCAGAAGCTGGTTGCAAACTTTGGGCCAGCAGGTATAAATCAGTTATTTTTGGTGCCATAACTGATGGTAGATTATCATAACTAATTACCAACTGATAGGATTACCAGAATATTTTTTTAATTTGCTGAATCACAAAATGATATTAGCATGCCTTTAAACAGTCTGGTTTGAGTTAACTGGAGATGAACCTAGTATTTCAAGGCAATGTACTGCTTCCTTGTGATGCAATATGAAATAATTAAAATAAATCAGCACAAATATCTGGAAGAGAACTCAAGACCAGGAAGTCAGCCAGTTTTCAGCACCATTGTAAAAGTTATGTACTGCAGGCAGCAGAGACATGTTATGTGGGAGTTTTGTTGCAGGAGGGACTGGTGCACTTAAAATGTCTCTAGGATTGCCATTTAAGTTTGAATGTTGTTCATCCTGGGCTACCTGTTTAAAGGCCACACTCAACTTTTCAAGCGGCTTCCATGTCCATTCGGCCACTCTAGGGCAAAAATCAGATTGTTTGCATTGTTTTCCTGTTTTGTTTTGTTTTTTTATTGAAACCATTGTTGCCTATCCAGCTCAATTGCCGTGGTTACAGTCACTAGATGGTGCTAAAGGAGAATCCGTTGGGACAGATAGCTGGTGTTTATTTTTAATTTGCTGAACTGTTGTTATGGTAAACAAACATTTACCTTGCCAGATTGCAATCAGTTTCTCTTCTGAGTTTTTTTTTTTTTTTTTTTGTCAGGTCATGGAAACTAAAGTAACAGGTAAAGTCTTTATATGCAGATTTGTCGAGTTAAATCATTTAAAAACACATTTCCTGGGATATTGACTGAGATTAATTCCCACTTTGTTGTACCAAAAAGTTGATAACCTATGTTAGAACTAATTAAATGTCCTCGGCATTGTAGCTCCTCCTGGGTGTTATCAGAAGAATAAATCCATCCTACACAGCGAGAGATCAGGTGACCTGATAATCCCCTCCTGAGCTCCACATGCAGGGCAGACGCTCAGCTCAGCAGCCTTCCTGAGCAGAAGAGGCTTTCAACCAGGTTAAACTTTTACAATGGAGGAACTGAGGTCTAGTTCACCTGCTCTCTGTCTGGATCTGAACCACTCTGAACCGCCTGGAGCTGGTAAGAGCAGCTACGTCATAACAAGTCCCCACTCGCTGGAGTCCAGGACTCAGCCAGGTATTAAACCGGTTCAGCTGCTAATTAGGTCTCTGAACGAGCTGATTGCAGGGCAGCAGGCTGCGCCTTATGAGCCCATGAGGACTCTGCATGAATCCTATGAGAAGGAACGATCAAAGCTTTTCCCTATGCCTGTGTGGAGCAAGGAGCAGGGGAGAATTATTCAACCCGGAAGGAGCAGATGGCCGAGAAGTAATGCAGCCTCGAGCTATGAAGTTGTAAAGAAGGTGAAGAATCACTCAGCAGAGCCAGTTGTCTATGCAGACCTTTGCTTAAAAGCAAAATCCTGTTCCTCTGTTTCTCCAAAGAGAGACCCAGAGAGGAGCACAATCAGCAGCTTCAGTCTGGGAGATCTGAGATACTCTCCGTCTGCTGAGAGGAAACTGCAGAAGATCACCTCAGAAATCAAGAGGAAGACATGCATCACCGTGCCAGAGAGGGACCGCAAGATAGCAGCTCTGATGCTGGCCAAGCATCAGGAGGAGCAGGAGCGCCTGAAGCTCTGTCTGCAGGAGGAACAGGAACGGCAGGAGGCCCGCAGGAAGGAGGAGGCCAGGCAGGCCCAAGCAGAGAAAGAACGAAGGAGGAGGCTTAAGCAGAGGATGAAACACTGGCACAAGGAGCTGGAGGCCCGCAGGAGGCTGAGGCTGCGGCTGGAGCACGAGAAAGCAGCACAGCTCCAGCAGGAGATACTGTTCCAGGAGAACCGATGGAGAAAGCTGAAGGAAGTGGTTGAGGTACAACGCAGAGAGAAGCTGGAGGCTGCTCTGAAACAGACAGAGGAGCGTAAAAAATACCAGGAGAGACTGCTTAGGGAGAAGATGGAGCTGGAGAAAAGGGAGCTTGAGAAGGAGAAGCAGGTGGCAGAAGCGAAGGAGGAGAAGGCCTGGAGGACCAGAGAGCTGCAGGAGAAGAGGGAGCGGAAACGGCTGCAGGAGGAGAATCACAGAGAGATGCTGCGTCACATCCTGCTTAAGAGGCATGCGGAGCAGAAGATGGCGGAAGATGAAGCACAGAAGAGGAACTTGCTGGAGAAGAAGCTGCAGCGTTCCTCCGAGAAACGAGCCCGAGCTGCGGAGGCACAGCACAGGCGGCTGCGGGAGCGAGCTGCACGGCAGGATGTCCAGCTCCAAAGAGCACAGCTGAGGGCCAAGCTGCAGAGGGTCCAGGAGCTCACGCACAAGCAGATCCTGGTCCAGCAGAGCCAGCGTCGCATGGAGAGAGCCGCCGAGAACGCCTCGGCGCTGCGCAGGAGCCGCTCTCAGCAGAGACGAGAACGGAGCAGACACAGGCAGGTCTGCCACCAGCAGCTGAGTGAGAAGATCCAGAGAGAGGAGGAGGCCAGCAGGAGGCTCAGAGAGAACTACGTCTGCGTGAAGGAGGGGAAGAGGGAGAGGCTGCAAAAAGTGAGGGAGCAGATTCAGGAGGAGGCGCGGAGGCTGGTGCAGGCCTCCTTTCACTTGAGGGACAGGGTCAGGCAGCAGACACACAGCCGGACCTTCCACCAGATGGCCCTGGAGGCTCAGCTGACTGCCTCCATGAGCAGAATTAAACTCTAAAACAACTCAGGGTTTTTTTTTTTCTTAGATATTTAATTATTTCCTTACAGCACATTTAAGTTTGTATGTAGATTTACTGTAGCAGGGCAATTTCTAAGTGCTGCATCATTGTAAAGTGGAAGGAATTGTTTCCAAAACAATTTTTGAAGAAAAACATCCAAATTGTGGGATGTACATGTTGCCAACCCCTTTACTCTGCTACACCTGAATAAAATCCACTCTTAAGTGCCTCAAAAAAAACAAAAACAAAAAAAAAAACGCTTCGTCTTTACTGAATTTATTCTCAGTATGGATCACTATGTTTGAACTGCAAACACGGCCGAACATCGAACCTGAGATCAGGCAACAAGAGCATTTCTTCAGGTTTTTATAAATCAAAACTTTTTCCATGAAGGATTTTAAACTTTTATCACTAGTTAAGGTGAGGTGGTTTCTGACAATTTAGTGACTTTTTACGGCAGTGAAAAAGCAAATATTTAACATTTTTCTGGATTTAAAATCCTTCCGCCTGGGGATAAAACCAGGGTTGGGATGGACACGGGATGCTGTTAACAATGAACTTCTTTGGAAACTCTGCTGCCGCATCCCAGAAAATATCCTTTTGTATTAGACTAGAGGTCTGCAACCTTTACGATTCGAAGAGTCATTTCTGCCCTAAGTGCAGATAAATAAAACTTGCCTCACTGCAGCCTTATCCTTCTGTAGAAATCAGATAAACTTCCTTTCTGTAACCACTAGTTAAGAGAAAGGATTTCTATGCAGTGTAGCCATTTGAGATGAATATTTTATAACTTGGGTTTCTACATGGAATATGTTAAACACTTACTGAGTCATAGAAATACCAACATTTACTTTTTCAGTCTGCTTATAAAATGTAACAAAATATCCTTCAAGTTATATTTGATTAGTCCACATTGTGTCTCACTTTGTTTGACCTATTTATTCATTTACCTGCATCATTTATGCCTGTTAAAATCATAAATATTCAAAATGAGAGCCAGCATCTTCACTGCAGGTCAATCTCAAGGCTGCATTTAGATTTTGCAAAGAAAACTTGAAACCAGAGAGAAGGTTCGACTTCCAGCAGAACAACAGTAAACATAAAGTCGGAGCTGCACTGGAAATGGTCAGATCAAAGTACTGAGTATGTTACAATGGCCCAGTCAAAGTACAGACCTAAACCCAACTTTAACGCTCAACTTACAGTCTGAGTGAGCTCGAACTCTTTTCAACAAACATCTTTTTTTTTTTCTCTAGTTTTCAGATGTGCACAGTTGGTACAGACAGATATACAAGAAACAGATGCTGCTTTTATTTGTAAAAAAGAAAAAAACTGAACTGTTTTTCACTTCACAAATGCTACGTTGTGCTAGTAAGTGGAATTAAAATACACTAAAGTTTGTGTTTGTAACTAGTGAGAACAGAAACGGGTCAAGTGACACGCTGAACTTTTTTTTTTTTACAAGTCCCGCAAGTTCATAGTTTACCAGCTTGAGGGTATTTCTGCTAGTTTGGATCAAAACAGTGTAATTCAGGTCAGCTAGAGGGTAGAATACAGAGTTACAAAACATTCAGAAAAGTGTGTTTTCTTTCTCAACACCATCTATGAACACTATCTATGAACTCAATTTGGGCCGCAAAGATGCGCAGGATTCCAGGGATACTTTTTGAGGAATTACAGGAAATAACTCACATGGGGGAAATCTCTATTTATCATGTAATCACAGTAGAAGGTCCTGCTTGTTTTCATATTTACCTTCAGCAACTATGTGAAGGTTGTTTTTTTGACTCTGTTTTGAAAAGGTCAAGGCAAGCATGAGTCCAGTTTTACGCAAACCCTTTCCACTCACTCGGCCAACAGATGTGTCACAGTAGCTGTTAGTCAGCAGAGTTGAGTTCTTCCACCATTAGAGAGTTAAAGAGTTTTTTTTTTCTTTTCTTTTACAGACACTGGGTGCATGAATGCTGACAGGAAGGTGATAAAACAAGGCTCTCAGTGCAAATATAAAGAAATAAAAGTTAATGTTTCACCAGCCATCGTTATGCACACTTTACTGAATAATCTGACATTGTCTTACTGTTGCAGTCTCTCACTGCAGGCTTTCATTTGAGGTTAAAACAGGAGAAATCCAGCTAAGCTACATGATAATCATGTTCCTTCAAGTAAATTGAAACTATTAGCCACATTGCTGTAAAGGTTTATAACAATGTTTTATTACTTTAGTGATAGTATATGGATATGTTCAATACATTTTAAAGAATAACAGAATGTGAGCAAATTTCATGCCTTAATATTTTTTATGTATTTTTATTTTAAACTTTGCTTAATGTATTTTAATCCTGATGCAGCCATATTTGTTAGCACCCCCAGTAAAAAGGCAGCATATCACACACAAAAAAAAAAAAAAAAAACTTGAATTGAGGATGTGTATCCAGTGGGGAAAAAAACTCAAGAGAAAGTTAATTATTGTTTTATAGGAAATTACAGGCAGGCAGTTATTTGTAATCCTAACAACTGAAACTATATTTTTTTTTAATTTACAGTTTATTTTTATTTTAAAATATTTGGATTACAGTTTCAAATGATGACACACATTGTAAAAGCTTGCCATGTCCATAGAAAAAGAACCAAAATGGCTTAAGTAAATTAGTAAAGCACTGCATCAAAATACATAAAAACCTATCTAAAATTAACATTTTTATTACTTCATAATTAAAAACAATTTTTTTGTTCCATCTGTTGTTTTGATCAGCTATGATCAGTAGCCACAGAGCTACTGTGGAGGGTTAAGGACCCACAGTGGGCTCCTGAGCTGCAGGTTCCAGATCCCTGCTCTATAACATCATCTCCTCTGGTCTACATGCCAGAAAAAAAAAAAAACATATTTTCTATCCTACCATCACAATCATAAAGGAGTAAAGCCAGAGGCACTTGGACTATGGAAATCTGTGTTTTGGTCATATGAGACTAAGGGCAAAGCTTTCAAGTAATAAACGCAACTTAAAAATATGTAGAAAAGTATGAAAGTTCACAGTGGAGGATATGTGATGCTGTGAGCATTTTCTCTTCTAAAGACCCTGGGAACCTTCTGAAGAATGAATATCAAATGAACTCATTTGAATATCTGAACATTTTAGATAAAATCAACCTGTCTTTATGACCATCTTAGCTGAAGAGAAGAGAGCAGAATCCATGACTCCGAACTCTGGATGATCTAGATCAGGTCGGCAGCCTTTGCATCCTTAATAGACTTTTTTTTTTCTTTCCTTTTCTTCAGCTAAACAAAGTTTGTTTAAAGTTACAAAAGAAACACAACTCTAAAACAAATAGCTTATTTTTTAAGATATCTATGACAGAGAAATTCAAATTAAGAGAAATTGTGCACAAAGGAAAAATCCCTCTCTGTAGGATCAGACCTTGTAAAATGTTATAGGAGACAAAGAACCGTCTTATGGGTAAAATGAGGTTGTACAATGGAGAAACAACAGAATTTTATCACCAAAGATTTTGCTGAACAGGTGTTCAGATCAGATTTTAATAAACTTGTCAGTGTTAAATTAAAGGTGTTGCAGTTTATTTGAATGATTATTGCACATTTTGAATAGAGACAGCTTTATAGAGTCAAAACTTTTAAAATACACTCTTAAAAATAAATCAAACATCCACTGTTGAAAACTATAAGTTATGAAATAATATGGCTCTAATGTAGTTCAGGCGTCACATTTGGCATTTCGGCTAAGAAAAGAAATAAAAGACAACAAGTTTGTTTCTGAGGAACCATGAGGAGGAATGTTTCTCTCCGATTCTCCAATTTGCCCCTTTTCCTGTCAAACTCTTAAAAATAAACACAAAACTAGTACAAACTGTGCAAACTAGATCGCATACTGTGCACACGACAGTATCAAATTATTATCTTGTTCTTCTTGTAAATCTACCCTCCTGATCACGGTTTCGTTTTTCAAGAAAATTATACATCTACGTAACAAATAACAAATGTCCCTCTTTTTGTTTACTTGTGCTGGAAACTCAGCTGAAGGACGTATAAAATATCCAAGTCCTTTCAAAACCTGAAAAGCTTTGTTGATCCAAGAACAATGGCAAGTGCTCAAGGGTTGGGCTAGTCTGAATCAGAAGCACGCCCATGAGGAACAACCTACCGCTGAGATACGTGGACGGGTTTTCATTCACTCTGTCTTCATTGCAAAAGTACTACATTTTACCAAGTATTTTTGGTCTAGTTTCTACTGGAAATAATATCTTAGTACATTTGAACTAACTAACTTACAAGTAACCTTTAAGCACAATAAATGAACTTATTTTCAGTCAATAACTCCATAATACCAGTGGAAAGTACTAGATATAACTAGACGTTTAAATGTTTTGTTCGACTGGCAGTACTCTTCCATCGATATTAAGAAATTACTGAATTAAAACCACCTCCTATATCTTGCTCTAAAGTCACCTGTACGTCAGTTTTGTCTTATTTCAAGTGTAAAATAAGATATTTGCACTAGAAACTAGACCAAAGAATACTTGGCAAGATTTTGTTTTGGAAGTGTTATTCTGCATCGTTCGCAGTAAACACGACGTCAGTCATCGTGCAAGCTGAGGGCCAATATGACCGGCAGCCCCACGCCAAGGATGACGGTGAGGCTCTCCAGGAGACCCAGATATCTCGCCTTGTGGGTTTCTGCTCCCGTTTCCTCCTGCAGGTTAGGGAAGGGTTCTGCTGCGCTGCTACTGCTGATCTCAGGGAGAACGTGCACCGTGGCAACATAAAGGAAAGTCCCTGCCGAGAACAGCATTCCCACTCCGGTTGCACTCAGCTGGTTATGAGAGGAACTTCCAGTCTGTCGACAAACACACACACACAGACACAGAAGCACGTAACGTGTCAGAAGCAGACAGCAGGGACTGACGGGGTTATCAATGTGAAGGATGTGTGCTCTCCCACCGCCTGCAGTATGAAGTAAGTGCTGATGGCGACTATGGGCGCTGCTGCTGAGAAGGTCAGTAAATGTCCCTGAATGTCTTTCTTCTCAAGGCCTGCGTGCATCAGGAAGGAAACCAAACCAAAAGCAGCAGGAGCCTGTGAGTCAACAACCCCCCCGCCAAAAAAAAAAAAAAAAAAAAAAAAAAAAAAAAAA